TCCGCGAACGCCGACGAACAAGATGCAACTCGGCGGCGAAAGGTCTCGTAGAGGAAGCGCGACGCTTTTTCACGAGAATTTTGCGAGATGTTTCTAAGTGGAGGAGCAAGAGAGGAACATTGATTTGTTCAATGTTCAAAAAACGTCTTCGATCGATTGCCGTGATTTCTACGGAGAACTTCTATCCCGAATAGAAAAATTATTCGAATACAAATTAGTTCGGTCCGTTTTTTTGTGTTAAAAGATGTATTTATTTCAAAACAAAATGAATGAACAGATCAATTAAAGTATTTTCCATCGCTGGCTACTACTTTCTCCTATTTCTCAGGCAATTTTCGAATTCCATTTCGAAAAAATTACTCGTCTTTTAAGGCAATCCAAGTTTGGAGCTAATTTTCGATATCTGCGAAAGAATGAACCGGTGACCTACCAAATCGTGCTGCATCCTTCGGAACAACCAGTAATCAGAAGGAGTAATGTCCGGAGAATACGGCGGGTGCGGTAAAACATTCCATTTGAGCGTTTCCAAATATTTTTTACTTTTGCGACATGAGGCTGAGCGCTGTCATGAGGAACGCCTTTCAACGTCTTTCGGATTCAGTTCATAAGACACGCAATTTCCTTGTTTTTTAATAACTCCATGTCTCTCAATCGTACGGAAACTGCTTGTTGAGTCACTCCCAATGATTCTCCAAGCTCCTCTTGCGTTTGACTCTGATCTTCTTCGAGTAATGCCTCTAATTCTTTGTCCCGAATTTTTTTAGCTGTCCAGAGCGAGGCTTGTCTTCGACGCTGAAATCTCTATCCTTGAAATGTCGAAACCATTCCCTACATGATTTATCAGTTGGAGCAGCGTCACCATAAACTTCAACAAGCATTCGATGGGCTTCAGCTGCACATTTCTTCCAATTAAAGCAGAAAATTAAAACCTCCCGCAAATGCTGCTTGGTTAACACAAAATTCGACATTTTCAACACTGTAAAAGCAAGGTTTTTGTATGAAACACAAAGCGATATAAACTGAATATTATTGGCAGATGTCTAACCTCTCTGAAACTGTCAAAATCGGCAGTTCCTATGAACCATTCATAACAGGCCATCTTTTGAAAACGGACCGAACTAATTTGTACACCCAATAATAAGGCTCTAGTACAGGCCTGATTATTTTTCTCTAACGTTAATCGGGCCCTAGTACTAGTAAGGATAGAAAGACAAGGGCCCTACAAAATGTATGTAACAAATGGTTTAATGGGTCTTATAAGGCAATATCAACAAGGCCTTATAAGGAAATATTCTTATTATTATTTGAATAAAAATATTTTTCTTTTCATTCCAAGAATTAGACTGTAATTTCTTGGTTTCTTTATAATCTATTAGTGAACAATAAGAATGTTTTATTTTAAAAATATAGTATATTTTACAATAAAATATAGCATTCTTACACATAAAAATCCTGTTACTGTTTTATTAAAGTTTGCTGCATTTTAAAACAAAAGCAATTCTAGGAATATCCTTGGAAGAGACTAATGAATATGACAATTAATAAAACTAATAAAATTTGTTTTTAACTGCGGTGTAATTAAAAAAATTTTTTAAAAAACCAGATAGTACGTACCTACTAAAACAATACTAAACTATGACAATTTTATTATACACTTCAGATTTTATTAATTTTCTATCACAAAACGTGATTTTGTATATCTAAAGAATCCTAAAAAGATCATTCTTAGACCCACATCAGTTTTCCACGTTAAAGCTGTTATTTCGTAAAATCTAAGGTATCCCTAAAAAATCCTTCTAAGAGTTTTCCCTCAAAGCCTTATTTATTATATCTAAGGCATCCCTAAAAAATCCTTCCAAGGTCCTCCTCAGCTTTCCTATCAAAGCTTATTATTATCCTTATTTATTAAATCTAAGGCATTCCTAAAAAATCCAAAGATCCTCATCAGTTTTCTTTGTCAAAACCTTGTTTCATAAAATCTAAAGTATCCCTAAAAGATTCATCTCGGAGCCTGATGTGGTAATAATGAGGCATCCGTTTTTGGAGCATCCTACTTTCAGCCATATCGGGGCCTTATCGGGGCCTTCATAAGGATGGCCCTAACAATATTTTGTTTGGGTTCGCATGCGTATAGGTGCTGTTTGGTGCTTCAAAGCTGATCTACTAATTATTTTCTACCAAACTCGGCTAACTCGCGCACGCGCGTCTCAGCGAGTCTCATATCAATTACAGGCCTGAGTGCGCAGGTGGGTCAAGTTGACGAAACACTTACTCGCGACGAGTAGCCTCGAATATCGCGACACCTGCGCCACGTAAATAGTGCAGCGGCAGAAGCAGCAGCCGGCTGAGCTCACAAAAGCTCATATAGATAAAAGATGCAGCTTTCTCTCTTGCTCTCTCTATTTCTTGCGCTCTGTCTTTCTTCTCAACATGCGCATATTCGAAGTCGCGGTGTTTCGCTTCCAACGTTTACCTTCGCGTCTCGTTGGCTGAAGCTTCTCCTTGCACTCTCCGAGATATTCTGTCGCCGAAATCGCCCGGCCCAAATCGACGCGCCGGGAAACGAGCGTGTCGCTCGAAATCAAGATTACATGAACCGTATCCGGCCTGTTACATGATACAGATGTATCCTCCGGCGCGTATCCGTGCGTTTCCTGCAAATTCGTCAGAGAGGGCTCGTATAGTTCTTTTATCTCTGCCATGGCCACGATAATATCTTATTGTTATCGCGTTTCTTTTATTCCTCGATATAATGAAGATTTAGCCCGTCTGAAAGCCCTGGGAGTTCTCCTTATTTTGCGCTATTATGATACCACACCCCTACGGTCGTTCGAGGGAGAAAGAGACGAAGAGAACTTTCCAAAGAGGCTGTGAAACAAAGTGCCCATCCGGATGAATTATCCCGGACGCAAAAAAAGCGGATGGTTACGTCGCAAGAAGGCGAGGCTGAGAAGAGAGTATTTGAAACGTCATTGTCATTCGTCATGCTTATGTCGCTCCCGAAATGCTGATGTATCGTCCTCCTCCAGAGCTAAACGTCAGCGACTGAAGCGTTATATGCACAGTGCGAAGAAAATCTGATTCTTATAGGCAAGAAATTGAATTAAGTGGTTTTTGATACCTTTATTTGAATCGAAATTTTTACCATTCAAAGAATTTTATAGTGACCGAAACAAGTGATAACGAATGATACCACATCAGATAAATATGGTGGGTGCGGTAACAAATTCCATCCAAACGCTAATAGCTTCTCTCTTTCAGAGTCATTAAACTTGTCTGGCATTGTCATGATGAGACACAACATCTTTTCTGTTTGCCAACTCTGGTCTCTTCTGCTTGATGGAATCATTCAATTTGTCTAATTGATGACAATACACATTCGAATCAATCGTTTGGTTGTTTGGTAGCAACTCAAAAAAACCATTCCTTTTCAATCCTACCAAATAGAGAGCATCAACTCCTTTTGATAGATATCAGCTTTCGATATGCTTTGAGTTGATTCATCTTGTCTTCTCCATGATTTTTTGCGTTTATAGCGGATATTGTTGTACGCAATCCATTTTTTATCTCCAGTTATGAGTCGCTTCAGAAATGAATCGTTTTCCTCACATTTCAACAGCACATTGCAGATAGTAATGCGACAAACCAAATCTCTTTCTTTGAGAGTAAACGTGTGGAACCCAAATATCCAACTTTGAAACGAAACCGAGTTGCTTCAAATGCTCATGCACGGTTGAATTCGAGAAATTCAATCTCTCAGCAGTTTTTCGTGTTGTTAAGGGATGATTTGCGATTTCCACCAATGTCTTTATTTAGTCTTCATCAGCCTCAACTGACCTTCCAGAACATGATGTATCTTTGAAGTCGGAATTCCCAGAACGAAATTTCGAAAACCAATTCTGACACAAGCCAATTCAGTCAACACATCCTCTCCATAGACGCAATTTTTTCTTGCTCGCGCTGCATTTTTGCCTTGACGGTAATAAGGAAGCAAAATGTGACGAAAATTTTCTCACGTTATTTTTCCATTTTTGATGCAACGCCAAACAAAAGTAACGTGATAGATTCCAAAACGACTTTTTCTTCAAATGAAGCTTGAAATGTGCCTTGTCAAAATGTAAAATGATTTTCTGGTTTAGAATGAAATTAACCGCTTAAAAAGGCAATTAACACCATCTATTTGAAAAAACCGAAATTACTTTTCCGAACAACCCGATATAATCCCGTGCCCGACTAAATTAGTTGAACGGCAAAGTATTCGAGACCGTCGGACGTCCCCAGTTAATTAATCCATCAAACTTCATATTACCATCCTTGTTATCTTCCGTAACTCGTTTTGAGTATGGTTTTGGTGGCGGCGCGGCGGCAAGAAGCCGCGTCTAAATTAGCCACAAGCCTCTGTAATCAGCTGTATATATTGTAATCTCGCTATCATTACTCAATTATGACTCGCGAGCTTATCTTCGCAGAATCTAAATTTTACGGTAGTTAGGACAATAGGTTCGCTATGCGTAATCGTAAAATTCAGCACATTTGACTCGATTCCAGTTGTGCGGGCGAACCTTTCTCTTTCTTATAGGGTACATACATTCCAGCAGCTGCGCATTCGCTCTTTTATCTCGGCGTTCTAATTAAGGAGAGGCCGGAAGCACGCTCAGGGAAAGAGAGACTTTTCCTCGCCTTCGCGAGTCGTTCCGATTCGGTTCGCTCAAGCTTGCGACTTTAGCGAGACAACGGCCACTGCTGCACGCGATTTTCACAAATATGCGATAATCGCGTCAAACATGATGCACGAACGCGCTGTGGTTTAGATGGAGGCCGCGACGAGAGTTTTATTCCCAGGAGAAAGCGCACTCTCTCGTTCGCGAATGCCCGGTGTGCTCCAGTTCTCATGAAGCGGGCACTCCTCGCGATCTTCTATTTCCACCATGCGAAAAGGAGAAAATCTCGATAAATTCGAAGCAGCAAGGTAGCAGAAGCAAGAAACAACACCAGCTTCCAAAATGAAAGATTAACTGTTACTTGCAAATGAAAACGAATATAATTCACCGTCGTCAATGTGATATTAAAACTTGATACATCGTGTTGATATTGTTCGCACCTATCTCTTAGGACCGGTTCAGAATAGGTTGCGAGTTGCGAAGGATAGCAACTACTACTAGTTGCAAAGTACTATTTCCGATCGCAACAGGGAATTGCGGTTGTTAAAAAAGAGTTACTCAACTTTCAACTTCTTCTTGGCAAGAGCAATCGGTAATCGCAACGTCTCAGTCAATCAAGTATCGAGTTCAGGTAGAGTACGAAAAATGAAACACGACACCACAGATAAAGATTGTGTGATACAAAAGGTGTGATGTAATTTTTCATGGTTTTGTAGATATCTTGTATGCATTCCATTATTTGTAAAAAGAAATAAATACTGAAGGGCAGTACGAATTGGATGTGCTTGAAGCAGTTGCAAAAGAATGGGATGAGTTCGAAATACGGTTGCTAATTGTACACATAAAGACAAATCAATCTCTAGTTAATAAAACTGCACCGAATTTTAAGAATAATAGAAGAAAATAGATAATGCTTGGAAAATTATTGTTATGTTACTCAATAAAACAGCTATTTCTTTTTATATACCGTCTTTATGCAAAATTTGAGGTTAATTTTAATTCATAGCTTCAATATAGAGCCTCGAAGCTATCAGACATCAAGTAATTTCATTTATTTCTTGTTGTGTTTTAACGCTATCTTATCTTATTAAAATAATTTCCATTAAACTTCACAAAATAGCCAATATTATTTGACAATTTTTCTAGCTGAATCTCAATCAAAATTATAGCACAACAAAAAAGCGGGTTCTATTTTCTGATTGGCTGTTTCGTTGCAACTTGCAAACTTTCGACATCTACATGTGGATTAGGCGTTGCAATAATTTGTAACTTGCAATTGACAACTTGCCATTCCGCAATTCGCAACTGAACGTTGCAACTTATTCTGGACCGGCCTTTAGTGTATACGTGTGTTTCACAAGATAAAAAATGTGTGCACGAACATGGCATCAGCGTGTAGTAGCAGCCCCATCTCCTGCAATATCGCTATTATCCCTCATCGTTTCGCTTCTGCATAAGCATAGAACGATCACTCCAGTTGGCAATATTGCACGCCTGTCAGAAGAAAGGAAGAAAAGAAGTGAGAGAAATACACTGATACGTCGGCAATTTCGTCAAGGCGGTAAAATTCTCGCGTTTCTCTAACCGACCGAACTGCACTTACAAAACGTCTTACCAAGTAAACGATCAGCTAAACGATCGAGATTCTTTGATTTCACAATCAACGAGAAGAAAAAGACAAAAAAGCCAACACAAGATCTCACTCTCGCGAAGCCACTCAATCGCGAAAGTAAAATCAAGAATGGAACGCCAAACGAATCCTTACAAGCGTTGCCAACATGGGCGCCATTTAGAAGTAGAAGTCGATTAGGTGGTCTGTTCTTGATTTTGTTTCACTCTCGCGATTCAGAAGATTTCGTAAGTTCGTAACAGCAAGATCTTGGTTGGCTCTTATTGGCTTTTTTCTCCTTGTCGATTCTTACCAGGTGTTACGCTCTGTATCCAATCAATGTAGTACCCAACACGCGTAGAGACTTCTGGTTCGTTGGTAGCGCAGCTACCGTTAGATATAATGCCGACTAGCACACTATTATGCGTGATAGGATTCTCCCAAATCACTGGCCCGCCACTATCTATCTGCAGAAGGTTCGAAAATTAAAATATGGCACGATTGCGCAATGCCCGTGGCGCCGAAACGACATTGTACTCGCACTATGTCAACACGGTCAACTTGTACACAATGAACTTGAATAATCGTAAAAGATACAGTGAAGTGAACAAGTAATTGGAGTGTTTTCCTGTCCCTCTCACTGATTCTCTATTGTCATTCGTACAAACGCGACTTTAGACGCGTCTTTAGACGCGATCGATTATACCTTGGGAACACGGCAGTATCGTCAATGACTGTATCACATAATTCAATACGATGACCTATGGACGATTTCTCCGCGTGAAAGAAGTCCCGTTCCCTTACCTGACAAGCGCCTTTCCCCGGAGTGTAAATGCACATGTTACCGTCTGTTATGTCAGAATATATTTGCTTGCAATCCGAAAGGTTGATTACGTTCAATTTCACTTTCTGCGACGTATTCACCTTTTCACCGCCAAACTCCTTTAGGCCCCATCCTGATTGTTGAGAACGGTTAAAGAGAATAGTGATGTGCGATAAAGATGATCAGATGATACTAACCCAACGCCGTCACTATAGAATCGTCAAATGAATTGCGACTATGCTGAAATGGCAGACAGACTGGACTGACTTTGTCATTATATGTTATCGAGCCCTTAATTTTACAAACAGCTATGTCGTTCTGGTTGCCAGAAGAATAGGGATGTATCATGCACTCCTTCACGCGGTACAACTTGGTCGCATTGGTTTCGGCGCCTATTTACAGAATAACACCAAATCGTGCATTAAGGGATATTATACATAATATTGTGTTATTTACTATATATTACTGTTTTTATCCTCAATTTATGTTTGCGAAAATACTTTATTACGTAACATAGATTTCTAAGAATAATTTCTAAAATTAAAAATATTACGTTAAGCTGTAATGTATATTTATTATTGATGATAATGATCCGCGTCCTCCACTAAGAAATTCAAATTCTCCTGCGAATATTTAGAACATACAAACGCGCTGCGTTTGTCAAGAATACATTTATTTTTTTAGATAGATAAATTGTCGAAAAATATAGCCCGCGTTACATACAACAATTTCCTCGCGCGTACTTGTATCAGATCTAAGACAGAACTGCGCGACCTGATTCGAGACTATCGTGATCGTTAAAACTTGCTTGGATCTCTCATTTTGAAGGATTATGAACTCAACATAAAATTGAACTCAATTTTACCTGTACTTGTATCATGGTCGCCGACAACTACACCAAGCTCTCCAAGATTTTTGCGCTCTACACAATGAGCGGCTGTTATTACGTGTTGCGTACTTATTATGGTCGCGCCGCAATATATTCTTTTATCCATCACATCAACGAGACCAGCCATCATTGGAAATTCGTTTACACCGGTTTCGTTGCCGTCAACTATAGCTAGAGCCTAAATAAATAACGAAAAGTAACGACAGAGCCTTTCCGCACATAAATTTCGCACGTTGTTTGCAGTCTCTTAGTTGCGTTAATGTATCTCTAAATGATTTTTCACCATACAAAAAGTCTCACAAAGTAAAGCATACGTACCCGATTCTTCCAGCTACATCTGCACTCATGCGACGGTTTTTCTGCTCGTATTTCACACAAAAATTTACCCCCTTGTGTATCATTTTGCGAATTAAATGTGATAGTTACATTTGGTCCCTCGTCTATGAAAGTATCATTACCGCAATACCTATTTATTTTTCTCCGAGCACCGAATTGCACCGAAAGATTGTCGCCGCTGCAGTCCTTACTCTACAAAATATCGCAATAAACCATTAAATTTCCTTCCTATTCTGCTTTTAATGACTTGGTTGTTCGTATAAACTGGACATAATTTGGTCGTTAGATTAGGACATTCAAATGTATCCAGCTAAAGAGTGTCCCAACATTTATGCAAGAAATAATTTTGATAGAAAACACAGTTTTATAATTAAAAATTGTAAATTTTTTAATGATTCATAAAGTATACAGTATAGGGTTATGTATGGAATAGCATGTCGGGTAAATGGCCTCCACGGCTTTGCTGGCACATATGCACTCTTTTGTTGAAATTTTCCATGACCGTTTTGCATAAATGTGGCTGAATTTCGTTGATACAGCGCTCAAATTCCTCCTTTAAGGCGTGGGTGGTCGTCGGCTTGTTGGCATAAACCTTAGACTTCAAAAAACTCCAAAGAAAAAAGTCCAACGGCGTTAAATCGCATGATCTGGGCGGCCAAATCTGATCACCAAAACGGGAAGTTACACGACCAGGAAATGACTCATGCAGTAATTGAATTGTTTCTCGGGCTGTATGGCATGTGGCACCGTCTTGTTGAAACCACATGTCGTCCACATCCATATCTTGCAATTTAGACACAAAAAACTGGCTTATCATGCCGCGATAGCGAGCACCATTAACTGTTATTATCTGACCAGCCGCATTTTTGAAGAAGAATGGTCCGATGATGCCTCCAGCCCAAAATTCGCACCAAACAGTGACACGTTGTGGATGCATTTGTTTCTTAACAATCACTCGTGGATTTTATGAACTCCAAATGCGAAAATTTTGTCGATTAACCAAGGCATCAAGATGAAAATGAGCTTCATCGCTGAAGATGATTTTGATCGAAAAATCAGCATCCACTTGTTGTTCCACAATCCATTCAACGAACTCTCTTCGCTGTGGCCGTTTACCCGATATGCTATTCCATACATAACCTTATACTGTATACTTTATAAATCAATAAAAAATTTACAGTTTTTAATTATAAACCTGTGTTTTCTATCAAAATTACTTCTTGCGTGAATTTTGGGACACCCTTTATCTTCACTCCTAAAATGCGTGTTCACGAACGAAATATCTTTGCAGTGTATTTACAACTCACCGAGGGCATTTTCAATGTACAATTAACATTCATGGTATAAGGGCTATATTTTTTCCACGTGCATTGCTCATTTTCCCGGTACAGATCAGGATACTCTGAATTATATACATAGTATTTTCCAGGTTCCACGTCTTGAAAATAGTTGCAGCCTGACTGGGCTTCACGCAGCGTCAAAAAAGACAGCAATAGACCAAATGTTACCACTTTGACTAGAACGAAATAATATTCCCGTAATCATACCGTCGTACATGTGCGTATAGATCCTCTTAAAATTTAAT